AAAAAAAAAAAAAAAAGAAAAATATAGAAAATAAAAATTTAAAATGTGAACAAAAAACCAAAAATGAATTTTCTAAATAACAAATGGTTTCTTAAATTTTGGACCTATTTCAAAAAACCTACTAAGTTTATTTCATAATTGATAATTATTGTAACCAGGAAACCTATCTGAGCTCCTTAAATAAACTGAAGCAGCAACAAAGATCACAAACCAAATAAACTGAAGTCTTTCCTTGAAAAAGGAAAATTAAGTCCCTGGAAAATCATTAATAAAGCATTTGTAGATTGTAGTCATAAATGCGTTCCCTTGTTATCAGACACTTAGGTCCACTTTTTAAATGCTCAAGTCAGCATCTTACTTTTTTGGTTAACTTGCTTATCAGTCAAAAAATCGACTGAAATGAAATACTTTGACACAACCACACAGTACCCTAGCTGGAAATATTACTGCTGCTTATGGTTTTATATAAAGCTATTGTTAAATGTATGTGAACGTTTCAGTAAGAAAGCTACTCACCACCATCCCTCTCTCTAACTCTGTGAGTATGCACATTTTTGGCCTTACTGTGACCTGTGCTGTCACTGTATTTGTTTTCAGGACTATCAGATCTCCGCAACATTTTATTTGGTGGTGAAGGATCTGCTGCGTCTCGCATCTTTTCATGTCTGTGATCACCACTACTGGGGTGACTCTTCGATGAATACTTAAGTGCCTGTAAAACATCACCCCCCCAAAAAAGAGAGAAAGAATTGAAATTTTAAACTAAATTCCCCAATCTAAGCATCAATTTTGGTGTAATAACTTATAAAGCTTTATAAACTTATTAATAAAATTAAAATTTCCATTTTGAAATCTGAAAAACTTGATGCTTAAGTGTACCATAAGACCCTTGATACAAATCTTAATACCAAATTTTAAAAAAAGAAAGAAGAAACCACACTCCACTTTTAAACCACAGTGGCATATTGATTCTGCATAAAATTTTTCTGGGAATTAATATGTGAAATTCCTTTTTGAATGTTTAGTCAAGATAAAACTAGAAACTCAGTACTACTGTAATCAATTTCTGCTCTACAACTGATAGGCACAGGCATATGTTTAAGCCTATGTATATTTCTAAAAAGCTACCAAAAAAGACATCAGTTTCCCCAAATATACGACTCAAAGCACTTCAGACCTAACTTACCTACTCTTGGCAGATGTGCGAAACAATTTTAAAGTATGAAAATACTAGCCAAAATAAACTGATATGAGCAGTATTTCCAACTAAACAGAGTGGAACACACTCAAATTAATGGTTTAGTTTTATTCTAAATACCTCAGGATAACCAAGATACAACATTCTTTTACAATGTGTAAAAGCAGTTTTGCAGGGCAGATTGAATAAGTTTTAATCTTTGACATTAAAATGCAACAGACAATGTTTTACACATCAGGGGATCAAGTGTTTTCAATGCCAACTCTAGCCTAATGTACAAAGTGTTTGGTTCAGTACACCTGGTAAGTTACCATTTATGAGATTTCCCTCCTGAAAACTGAAGCCACATCTACCGTAATTTTGAAAAACTTCACATGCAACAACTGCTGTAACAAAAATGAACCTAGCTACCCTACCTAGAACCACCTACGTTAATTATCCAAATGCCCCAAGATCTCAATTCTTTCAGGAAAAAAACACTTAAAATAAGAAAAAACAATAGTTTACATCCCACTTAAAAGTTGTAAATCACTTAACTATTTCTCCCACACCCTTCACCTAATTTTAATACTTCTACCTTAACTTCCAGTTCCCCCAACACAGTAGGTAAGTACACCTTCCAAGTCACCTACCACTTCATTCCATCGATTCCTTCCCAAATAATCAAGCTAGGTCTTCTCGGCTGCAAATGGTTTTGTTTTTATTATTTTTTTCAGTTTTAACTGAACTTCCTCCACTCACCTGTTCAAATAAGACATTAAACCTTGTCGGAGAACCCTACTGGGGCCAAACACAAAATTTTAAGGGGACCTGCCGTCCTAGTTTTAGATTTGTTGCACCAAAGGGCCTGCACCGACTTCTGAAGCCTGCGCTCGAGTAGCAGTCCCTCCCTTCCCCCTCCAGGCCCCTTCCAATCCCTCCACCCCGGCTTCGGGCTGGTACCTGGTAAGGCTGCGAGTCCCCCCTCCGGTCGTGACAGCTGAAAAACAGGAAGAGAAACGGCGACATGAGACACTGCGGGGGGTGGAGGGAACGGGTCCCCCCCGCCGCCCCTCCCCGCGGGAGTCCTCCCCAGTGTACCGGCGCGGGCCCCGCACGCACACGGCGCGCTCGCACAGCTCCCCAGAGGACCAAGGAGGGCGAAACGCGGCGCACCCGGGCCCCCGCTCCCCTCCGCCCGCACTCC